CTCCACGACTGAAAAAAAAAAAAAAACACAGCCCCATGGTTGGGCCACGACCGAGATGTCTCGGCCATACCCCAGACTGGCCACGGGCGAGATGTCTCGGCCAAACCTCAAATTGACCACGACCGAGATGTCTCGGTCACACCCCAGATTGGCCACGACCGAGATGTCTCGACCACAGTTGAAATTCGCAGGTACTACCTTTCACAGGCAAATGTGAAGTCTCAAGAGTAGCCTACTCCGAAGAAGTGGGGGCCTTGGGGCAGAGATGGAGGCTTAAAAAATAAAAAAGAAAAAAAAGAAATAAAAAAGTAAAGAAACGAGGAACTTCGAATCCACCTACGTCGGGAAGACCCTCACGTCACCAGTGCTTTGAGGAATGTATCTGGCCAGGAAGTGAGGAACATGAAACATGTCGTTTTCCTTTTTTGTTTCTTGTTGTTACATGCTGAAAGCCTACACACAGGCCCCTCACGGGACCCGAGGTTGGAATAGGGCCCCCAGGTCGCGTCACCACAACCTGAAGGCCCTATGGCATTTTTACTTGGGCCTGCATCAGAAAAACGCCAGCTTTAGATTATTTTTATATTCTTTTATTTATTTATTTGCTGCTGTTTTTCTAACGGTTGTACTGTTGTCCGTTTTGTGGTCAGGTACACGTTTTAGGACCAGGGCAAGATTCAGGCCCAGAGGCTGAGCTCCTAAAAACGTTTGGACCTTTACTTTTGTTTTCGAACAGATTGCTACCTGTTCGGACCCAGGCCGACGTTGAGGCCGGATACGTCCGCACAGGACCTGTTCGAAGCCAGGTACCAGGAAACTGAATCCTGGACAGGGCCTGAACGTCTGGTAGGGACCTCGGCAGGCCGTTTTAGGCTAAGGGATGAACCAATTTCAAAGCCTACGATCTAGACCGTGGATCGGATTTCGATCTGCACGGCCCAGAATGCAGCCCGTGGGTTTTCAGTCATGGCCCAGCGCTACATAAGCTGGGTCGTTGCCCAGTTCGTGGACAGAAGGTACCAGGAGAAATCCAGCGTTATGCTGGTTCAGGAACTTCGCTGCTGCGCTATTTTGGAGACTCCCTGCTGCGCTATTTCGAGACTGCAGCTGCGCTGCTCATCGTCCATGAGGCACAGCGCTGGAGGAGTCCAACACCAAGGAGGGTAGTGGAGAGAGAGAGAGAGAGAGAGAGAGAGAGAGAGAGAGAGAGAGAGAGAGAGAGAGAAAAGAGGACTTACCTGCACCAGCGCCATAGCTGGCTCCGCCGTACTTGCAAGTTCAGCATCGCCAGGTAAGTGCAGAAAGCGCCTAGCTTTCTTCTTCTTCTTCTTCTTCTTCTCCTCTCCTCATCTCCTCCTACTCCTCCGAAGTTCTTCTTCTTCTTCTTCTTCTTCTTCTTCTTCTTCATCTTCTTCTTCTTCTGCTGCTTCTTCTTCTTTATCAGAGTAGAGATAGAGGTAACTGCAGACATTGTTTGGACACGGCCTTCTACCTTATTGGACACGACATTCAGATCCAACTTACACTCTACATTGGGATTGAACTGTGCACGATATTCGGAGATCAGACTTGGGTTGGACTTGGTTACTATGTCCCTCCCCCTTCTCTCTCGCATGTCTATGGATCTCTCCCCATGTGTGTGAGTGGAAGGGCAATCTTTCTTATGTCTTGCCCTTCCGAAGTTTCTCCCTTTCATGTTGTCATCCACATGTCCTTTTGCTACTAAATCTTCCGCTGCGCTGCTTCTCATCCTATGATGATAATGATACGAATGTGTTGTTGTTGATTTCTCGTTGTTTCACTCTTTGCATCGTGCACATTGACACCTTGTGAATGTTGCACCTATGCTGCTGGTTGTTACCACTTTCGTCATTGCTAGATCCTAGGCTTTCAGTGCATTTCACTTTCTGATATGCTACAAGTGGTATCGGAGCTAGTGCGATGAATCTTCGCAGCAACCAATCAATCGATTGATTGATTGGATTGTCGGTTTGCCACCAATCAATCTTCGATTAATTGATCAGTCAATCAAGAGGTTGATCGAACAATCGATCAATCAACCAGCAATCATCTGAGATTGATTGATTGATTGATTGATTGATTGATTAATTAGTTGATTGATTATTTGACAAATTTTTTATCTTGGAAATTTCATGGAATTAATTAATTATTTATTTATTTATTTTTCGAGAAATTACTTCGTTTTTCGATAAATTTTTTTTCGAGAAATTATTTCTTTTTCCGAGAATTTTTTTTTGAGAAATTATTATTCTTTTCCGAAAAATTATTTTTCCAAGGAATTTGGTTTCCGAGAAATTCTTTTCTGATAATTCTTTTTTTGAGAATTTTTTTTCGAGAAATTATTATTCTTTTTCGAAAAATTATTTTTCCGAGAAATTTGGTTTCCGAGAAATTCTTTTTTTCGTTCTAAGAATTCTTTTTCCGAGGTTTTTTTTTTTCACCTTATCGTTAAATGTCTGCATTCTGACAAATTCGATTCTTTTTCCGAAAATGTCCCTCTACACTTTCACTGCGTAGGTTTGCAAATTCCGTTCTTTTTTTCAAAAAAAAAA